GAGCGAGACCACCAGACCATGATGGCTGGTGTTAGGTGTGCTATTAGGGGTGCTAATATGGCTGCTAAATGGTGGCCTGAGGCCCTACTTTATATGGTGGATGTCACTAATCGACTACCAATGGCTAGACTGGGAATGAAAACCCCTTATGAGTTACTGCACCGCCATAAACCAAAGGGGTTAGGGTTAAGAATTTGGGGCTCCACTTGCTATGCGCATATACCAAAGTCAAAACGAAAGGATCCTAAACTAGGCGATCGGGCTATAGAATGTAAGTTGCTGGGATTTTCGCCTAAACATAAAGGGTACCGACTCCTGGACATTAAGGCTAATAAATACCTTATTGCCCGTGATGTAAAGTTTAGCTCAGCTGGTACTGAAGCAATGATCAGTCGATCGTTCCCTATCGAGGACTGTAGCGTCAACGTTGAAGAAGAAAAGGTAATCCAAGGCCTAGGTAAAAGAACTAGACTTAATCTAGAAGTTGAAGTGCAGGATATTGACACCACTGGCCCAGATTGTGTCTCTCGACCACCGACACCCAAACAAGTGGGAGTGCAAAACGGTGCTGTTCGTAGGTCTAAAAGACGACGACTGTCAAATGTGCGGCTCAACGACTACGTGACAGAGTTAAATACTGTAGCTATTAATAAGACAGCCAGAATACCTATTCCTAGGTCAATTAAGGAGGCCAGGTAAAGCCCACATGCGAAGCAGTGGGAGTGTGCAATAAAGACATAGTATGACGCCCTTTTAAGTAATTAAACGTGGGAATTAGTACCCCTTCCTACTGGAAGACGGCCATTGGGTTGTCATTGGCTGTTTGATGTTAGATACAGAGCCGACGGCTCAGTGGACCGTTTTAAGGCACGGTTAGTTGTGCAACGAAATACACAATTGTATGGAATTGACTATAAAGAGGTGTTTGCACCTGTAGCAAGATATGAATCGTTGCGCTTATTACTGGCATTAGCCACAATATTAGGGCTGCATCTACACCAAATGGATGTATCTACAGCGTTTTTAAACGGAGTTTTAAGTGAAAACATCTACATGAGGCAACCAATGGGGTTTCGCAAAGGAACTGAAAATCTAGTTTGCAAATTAAAGAAGAGCCTGTATGGACTGAAACAGGCACCTAGAATTTGGTATGAAGTTTTGAATACCTTTTTAAAAACCTTAGGCTTTTTTAGATGCAAGAAAGAGCATTGCTTGTATCTAAAACGGTGGGAGATAAATGGGGTTTAGCACGTCCTTATAGTGTGTGTGTATGTGGACGACCTGACAATTGCAGGATCACATCTAAGTTCTATAAATGATCTTAAAGCTAAGCTGTCTGACAAGTTTACTATGAAAGACTTGGGTGAGTTGCACTACCTGCTTAAAATGGAGATTAAAAGAGACCTTACAAATAAGACTCTACGCCTATCTCAACAAAAGTATATTAACGACCTTTTAGTTAAGTTTGAGATGAGAGACTGCAATACTGCACCTACACCACAAGCAAAAGCTGTGGTCTTAGAGAAGGAAAAGACATTGTCACCCGAACAAATAGCGGCACAGTCATTCGACTACAGAGGGTTAGTTGGGTCCTTAATGTACCTAGTTAGGGTAACTAGACCTGATATCGCTAATGCTGTCAGAGAGCTTAGTAAATATCTATCTTGCTATAATAAGACTCATTGGAGAGCAGCTCAGCGAGTACTAAAGTACTTGAAAGGAACGTCGAGGTATGGCATTGAGTACAATGGTAATAGTACTATTAGGTTAGAGCTATACACAGACGCGAGCTTCGCGAATGCATCTGAAGAAAGGAAATCAATTACAGGATATGTATCAATTCTCGCTGGTGCATGCATTACCTGGGAGAGTATTAAGCAAGATTGTATTAGTCTTAATACAGCGGAATCAGAACTAGTCGCCGCTAGTGAAGGAGTAAGAGAAGTAATGTGGTTACGATTACTACTGCAAGAATTAGGCTACGAGCAATTACTACCGACTCATTGTTGGTGTGATAATACGGCCGCAATCAGTATTATTAAGGACCCGTGCAGTCACTCTTCTACTAAGCACATTGATATTAGACATCTATTTGCACGAGATAAACATGAAGATAAGCAAATCAGGGTTACTTATTGTAGCACCAATGATATGATAGCAGATGCCTTAACTAAACCCTTGAGTCAAAATCAGTTTGAAAAACTCCGATTTATGATGGGCGTTGAAGACCTTAAATAAGAGTTCCATAAATAAAGATTGCCATACGTAAGTAAGATTTGGCTTCAAAGATATGTTTACAAGATCAAAGTGGAATTTCAATTATTGGCAGCAAAGTCAGAAATAAAGTTAGCAATAAAGGGCACATTTTAGTGTATGGGTTTGGTAAAAGTACGGCTTTAGCCATAAAACCTTAGTTTTACACGTCACCTAGCCCTCTAAAAGTAATTCTGACATGTCCGGGCTATCAGCCCCTTGCCCCAGAGTATATTTTACTCTTTTTAAGTTTAATTCTATCCTGACTCTCTAAATACCACCAAGTAAAGCACGAATGGTCAAAGACTGGAAATTCACGGGTACCGGATAACCGGACTTTCGCTCCGCAGTGCCTCCAATGAGCCATTGGCGATCCGTTTAGGTGCAAAAAAAGCCAGGACACGAGGGCCGCTGTGGCCTATGCCGGATCACTGTCGCCTGATGGGATACGGAGACGCTTGTGAACACCCCCCCCCCGAAGGGTAACGTCGGGACCTGCGCTTGACAGCAGCAAAATAGAGAGTGAGCAGCTCTCGCAAAAGTCGGAAACTTCAAATACATAAGCTAAGTTACTTTTTAATATGAAATAAAGTATTGCTTCTGATTTTAGGTTGCGAATTTAAGCTTGGGTATGTGCCCAGCATTCAAAGTTATACTAAATCCCAGTTCAGTAGTTTGATTTTGCTATTTTGGGCATGCTAAATCTGAGAAAGGTTGAAGTCGACTTCGAGAAGGATCTTTGGTGACAATATGAAGAAAGCTGACGGACAATAAGAAGAAAGTTTATGGCAACGCTGGCTTCTTTAGTGGGAGTGTTGCGACGCGCCATACCTTTGAGTTTGTATACTCGGTTTGTGCAATATGATTGGTTAAAAGGCAATCAAATAGTCTATTTGATTGGATAAATGTCAATAAGGGCAATGGCTGAAGGAAAGAGGCCAGCGTCCACCCAACTTAAGATAAGCCGAGGGATGTGGTGGAGAGGTGGCCATGTGATGCCACCTCATATCCAAAACTGACGGCAACTACCAACTACGTGTGTAAGCAACAACAAGCGCGACGCATACGGCAATCGGAGCGTCTACGGCAAGAACAACGGGTACGGCAAGCGAGACGGGTATGGCCAACAAGACAGTGATGACTCGCTCGATAGCTACGACACGCGTGGGGCGTACGGCAAGCAGAATGGCTATCGCAGCAACGACGACTATGGCAAGCGTTACGGGTACGGCGGCGCGGCGGTGGGTATCAACGCCGCCACGGGGCTCCCAGCTGGCGCAGGTGTGGGTGCCAGAGGCTACGGCAGAGCTGGCGTCGGACTCAATGCGGGTGCTAGCTTAAACACTGGTGCTGGTCTCAACGCTGGAGCGGGACTGAATGCCGGTGCCGGACTCAACGCCGGTGCCGGTCTCAAAGGCCGGTGCCGGACTCAACGCTGGTGCGGGACGTAAGGCTGGAGCGGGGCTCAACGCTGGGGCGGGACTCAACGCAGGTGCAGGAGTCAAGACTGGTGCGGGAATCAACGCCGGTGCCGGTCTCAACGCATAGCGGGACTGAATGCCGGTGCCGGTCTCAACGCTGGAGCGAAAAATCAACGCAGGTGCAGGAGTTAAGGCTGGAGCGGGACTCAACGTCGGTGCCGGTCTCAAGGCTGGAGCGGGCCTCAACGCTGGTGCAGGTCTTAGCGCTGGTGCGGGACTGAACGCAGGTGTGGGTGGAAACTCTGCCGGCAAGGCTTACGGAGGATACTCCAAGCCTGGCGCCTACCGCCACTTGCGCGCGTAAATACCCGGACCCTTGGGTTACCGAGGCTGATGAATCTGCACTTGTAGATCGCCCTTCGTTGCAGCCAACCACACTCGGACGATGCGCCGAGATCTAACTTGCACGAGATACGTGCCTTACGTGTCGTTGTAGTAGCTGTCATGTATATAGGATTACTCTACGCTGTGTAGAAGCCGCTGAATCCAAACATGAGCTCATTTTGTTGTACGCGTTGGTGTCCCTCCTGCATCCTCGACCATCAAAAATGTGTAGCCGTCTCTGATGTTGAAGTGGCTGACCAATAAGGTAAAAGTAGTTGGAGCGGTATCTGCTTCGTCAAGGTAAAACGGCTTGCATACTATTTATTGCTTAAGATCGAGTAGAGCACGAAGACTACACGTGTACTCGAGACAATTAGAACTGCGGGCATTCACACTAGCATACTTATCAAGAAAAAACATTTACCGGTATTCGATACTTCAAGTATGTCTTGAAAATGATATTTTTGCATATTCAGGAGAAGGACAAGTGGCCTCTTATTGAAGCCTGATTTGCATTTCGAAAGACGTTGTCCTGTACCAGACTAAAGAGGGTTTGTGAGCTCTCGCTGTACTGAATTGGATTTTCATCTGAATTGGATTTTTCACATAATGCCTAGATGTTATAATAGGTTCGGTTCTTGCGATAAACTGCGTACGAGCGACCAAATTTCGATCTAGTAACCTGTGCTTGAAATTAGATAAAAAATTATGCTTGACCTCGGGTTTGCTTGCGGGAACCCGGGTTCATTTTGCTAAGAGTTTCAGGCTTGGTGGCTGCTAGAGAGCATTTTCAATACTGTATAGTATTGGCGTTCACGGGAACGATTTGGTGGTCAACAGAACCAGCGTCAGTTTGACGCGGTCCGAGATTCAACGACAGAGGGAGAGAGAGAGTACGCACGAGGGAAAGAGGGGAAGCATGTTTACAACATTATTTGTCGTATTATGGGTCAGATAATCTGACTTATGTCAGTTATCAGAAAGAGCTAAGGAGATAACATCTAGGCGCCCCCTTTCAGATCCCAAGTCAAACGAGTCTGGATTCTGAAAAAAAGGGCAGTCTAGGATTGAAATGCCTTCAAACGTCCGCGAGATATATGATGACACTACTCCCCTCCCAGGATTGTTGACCACCTTCCGATACCCTATATCGCTTTAAATAGTGTACATCATTTTCATGGTGTCCTGCGAGCCCCCAGCAAAACAAATATTGAATAGCTAGTACAAGTGTACGTGGCATTTGGATACCACCGGTGTTCTACCGTTTGCGATGACTGTAGAGCCGAGATTTATTTACCATCACATGGCGCATCAACCCCCTCCGACAAATATATGTTGAACCGTGTCTGTTTCAGTAACGAGCAGCAACAGTACTCAACGCAAGATACGTGAATGTATTTTAATAATCGCACTGCAGGTTAGAAACACAACCGCAGGTGACCCTGCCATCGGATGGTTACCTTGTCGGCAGGATTACTACCACTGCAACGAGTTCTTATGCGGCGACTCAGCCATCTGTTCCTAACTACCCGTCGACTTGCAAACACCCAGCGAGCGGGCTAGTCGAGCGGTTGTCAAGCTGTTCGTTGCGCAAGAGGATATCACGCCAACTTCAGTCCTTCGCTGCATCGATCGGAGCAAAATGCAAGTGAGTTCATTCTTCAATTTCCGACGTCCTGATCCAGCGTCTGTGGGCCAACACGCTTCCAATTAAGCAGTTCCAAGTCGAGCAAGATGATGTTCAGCAAGACAATCTGTGCGGTGTGTGCGGCGGCTGTGGCGCTCTCGGCTAGTGCAGTGGACGCGTCTACCGAGGTGGCGCAGACGTACGGGCGTCTGCACCAGAACCACGACGGGTATGGCAAGAACGACGGCTACGACAAGCGCGACGCATACGGCAATCGGAACGTCTACGGCAAGAACAAAGGGTACGGCAAGCGAGACGGGTATGGCCAACAAGACAGTGATGACTCGCTCGATAGCTACGACACGCGTGGGGCGTACGGCAAGCAGAATGGCTATCGCAGCAACGACGACTATGGCAAGCGTTAAGGGTACGGCGGCGCGGCGGTGGGTATCAACGCCGCCGCGGGGCTCCAAGCTGGCGAAGGTGTGGGTGCCAGAGGCTACGGCAGAGCTGGCGTCGGACACAATGCGGGTGCTGGCTTAAACGCTGGAGCGGGACTGAATGCCGGTGCCGGACTGAATACCGGTGCCAGACTCAACGCCGGTGCCGGTCTCAAGGCTGTAGCGGGACTGAATGCCGGTGCCGGGCTCAACGCCGGTGCGGGACTCAAGGCTGGAGCGGGGCTCAACGCTGGGGCGGGACTCAACGCAGGTGCAGGAGTCAAGACTTGTGCGGGAATCAACGCCGGTGCCGGTCTCAAGGCTGGAGCGGGACTGAATGCCGGTGCCGGGCTCAACGCCGGTGCGGGACTCAAGGCTGGAGCGGGGCTCAGCGCTGGGGCGGGACTCAACGCAGGTGCAGGATCCAAGACTGGTGCGGGAATCAACGCCGGTGCCGGTCTCAACGCTGGAGCGGAACTGAATGCCGGAGCCGGTCTCAACGCTGGAGCGGGAATCAACGCAGGTGCAGGAGTCAAGGCTGGAGCGGGACTCAACGTCGGTGCCGGTCTCAAGGCTGGAGCGGGCCTTAGCGCTGGTGCGGGACTGAACGCAGGTGTGGGTGGAAACTCTGCCGGCAAGGCTTACGGAGGATACTCCAAGCCTGGCGCCTACCGCCACTTGCGCGCGTAAATACCCGGACCCTTGGGTTACCGAAGCTGATGAATCTGCACTTGTGGATCGCCATTCGTTGCAACCAACCACACTCGGACGATGCGCCGAGATCTAACTTGCACGAGATACGTGCCTTACGTGTCGTTGTAGTAGCTGTCATGTTTAGAGGATTACTCTACGCTGTGTACATGTAGAAGCCGCTGAATCCAAACAAGAGCTCATTTTGTTGTACGCGTTGGTGTCCCTCAGTGGTGACGTAGGGCTCGTCACGGGGGGATTGTTCTCCATGTGTCGATCGCTTCTAAGAGTAGGAGCCATTTAAATGTAAATACACTTAAATGTCAACTTAAGGAAACTAATCAGGAAGTAGCGTAAACACGTAAGTGCCTGGCAAAAGGCCGCGACAGGACTGCGGTGTCTGGCAAGGCTGCTCTTCTCTGCTGCTCTCTGGTGAGCGGCAGGCGTCAAAACACAAAGTGTGGAGCAGCCTCCGCCAGAACACCGCTGTACCGCAAAAGTAGATTAGTATACAAATAGCAAATAAGTCAATACTCAACTCTAGATAAATGCACTCTCGTTTGAGTACACCATCTTGGCAGCGCACAGCCAACGATGTCCTTGTGCATACAGTCCTTGGTATAGTCCTTCGCCATTGCACGCATGTGTACTCAGTGTAGCCGGTTGTAGTGCAGCCGCAAGCTGCACTGCCAGGCGCATGAGTGTCCTTGGGATGTGTCTTTGCAGACACTGGCAGTGGACGGTGGCTCGTAGATGGGGGCACCGGACACTGGCAGACTGCAATGCACTGGCGCTCGACACGCAGGTAAGTTTTATAGCTCACACTCCCACTTGATCTCGGCGACGCACTTGGAAGTCGACGCGATCACACACGCGCATCCTAGTTGCTGCCATAGTCCTAGTAGTAGCGTAGTCGCAGCTCAAAGACAATAGCAGTCCCACTCAGTAACAGTACTCCC